CAAAAAAAAAAAAATCAGATTAATTACAAAAGTACTCATACGCCAGACATGTCTTTGAATTGGTGACGTCAGAATGCACGGTGATGTTCATGTCAATAATAAAAATATACGTGTTCATCGAACAAATTTCATAACCTCTAGAACCTCCAAAATACATACCTACAATTGTTCTGGTTCAATACCTCGTACTTTGGTTCTGGTATTTATTCTCCTCTACCAAGAACTGCCTCTAAATAAAAAATGTAGGCTTGCAACACTAAAATTCGGGTTTCGATACCCATGGTTGGCATAGCACGGATAGCCCATTGTGTTGCTTCGCGGCCATCAACAAACAAACCGTTTAACTGTTAACGGTGAAAAAAAAACAACAACAACAGCAAAATGTTTTGTCATCTAACGTACTGCCATAAGACAGAACGGGCCACACCTAAACAATGTGCCTCATTGCATATAATATCAACCGCCGATTACAGCGAAAGTACAGGTCAACGTGATGACTGAACGTCTAGTAAACAATAGATAGGAACTATTACGCAATCTGACCTTTACCCTAACTACTTCAGATATACCAGAAGACTATTCTTGGGGGCCAATGTGGCCCACTTTATTTTCCCATACTTTTACATTAATGAAGTATAATAATAGTATGAGCTACATAGTTTGTTTTTTTTTGTGTGGAGGGGGGAGGGCTTATTTATAGTTTGCCGATCACGAATTACAACAAAGTTTAGCGAGGCCTAAATCATAAAGTAAAAGCAGACGATTTGCTATAAGCCAACTTTCTATCTGTAGAAATTCAAACATATTGAGCAACTAAATGCGGATTGTTACGTTATAATGTTTACTTTTCCCATGGTCTTTGCGCAAGCATTATTGCTCACCTAGTTTTTGGTCAATCTTTGTGATTATTTGCCATTAGTTTTGTAGTTCGAATTAATTTTATGCTCCCAGTGTCTAAGCGGGACGTCTGAGGACTCCTAACTCTAAAAATAACCCATTGTCTAGCTTTGTGTTTGACAACAAATAAAGTTTCGCTTTGAAGAAAATTATCTTTAACTATGATTAGGCTGAAGCAAATATTTTTTACGGATCGTGGTTTAAAGCATAAAGTTACAAAATAGGCTATGTGTGCTGTGCACACTGCGGGTATAGAAACTCGGTTTTTAAGAGTTATAAGCTTTCAGACTTACCGCCGAGTCGCGGCTGCTGATTCTGTATCATTCATAAATTTGTTAGTTCCGTTTTGAGTCGCGGGTCTTCGACATGTCGGAAAATGGGCGTATTTTACACCGCAAGTGTAAATATGTATATAGGCCTAATTACAAAAGGAAACCGAGATCCACTATTGTTTTTCTATAAAAGATGGGTCAGCAGTAAGTTTATTTATTCACAACGCTAAAATCCTGGGTTCGAATCCTCATGGTGAACGGAGAAAGTATAACAAACACTCGGCTGCGATACAAATACTGCTAATAATACGGGTATCTTTACAAACAGGTTTTAATTTCCTACTGAATCTACCCAAGTAAAATGGAACATTTAGTGATATAAAAATATAGCCTATCACTGCTTTCTTTTTAGCATCTAACGAAAAAAATTAACGAAAATGTGGTAATAGGTGTTTTTTTTTAACTTAATGAAAGTTAGGCCTAGAAAATATTCCAAATAGTTTATTTGAAAACATTAATTTTATTTTGTTCTATTATTACTATTATCCATTTTTTAATATTTATTTAAAAAAAAACCCTAGCGTACAGTATAAAATGAAAGTCTTAAGTTAAAGTTTACGATGTTATAAACAGTTTAAGCGAATGACTTACATATATATATTATCGTGTATTTATTTTGAATAATACAACTTTAGACACACATAAATATATGGATATACATTTTATTATTTTAGCAGTTTCATATAATGTAATCCAATACATATACAGACTCTTTTTTTCCAGCTGTGTTTTCGTGCTTGCCACTCATTCCAGTTTTAATATTTATTTCGACTGACAAAAATAGCAGTAACTTTTCGGTGACAAAAATCTCGAAAACTTATCACAATCCCATAAATACAAAGTTATACCAATAAAATATTTTAAATTTTCTTAAGAAGCACACCAGCAGAATAAACTCGTACTTTACAGAGGTGTAGGATGTAAATATAAAATTGACGTGGGATGGAGTAAGGTTTATTTAACCGAACGACGAGAAGGAACGTGCGCACCCATTACAGCCCGGGTCTAAAATTAAATTTCCTAATTTCGATTAATTTCTGGTGCTTAATTCATAAAAGCAACCAAATTATTTTAGAAATGACCGAATGAACGCGATACAAAACAGATATACGTTATTTAATCAGGAACAACGATAGCACCTGACTCAACTGTTATATTAACAATATGGTTCATAGCGAAACACTAATTCCCTCTATTATTATCTATTTTTTTTATTATCATGATCTATTTAACGTTATTTTTAATTATTATATAACAAAAAATGCGTCTACTGCGTGATAAAATCCGGAAACACGGAGAATTAAAGAGTTTGTTGTTATGTACAAAGCTACATAACGGATTATTTTCTTATTAACATTTTTGAAAACACACGAACTACATAAACGAATTACAAACAGTGTCAGTATGACGACGCATACACGAAACGCGAATTACCGAGATGTATTCAGTATGTTTGTTTAGGGCAAAACAATATCATAATGGGCTAATTGCGCTCTGTTCACCGTGGGGTATCAAACCATGGATTTTAGCGTCATAAATCCGTGTAATAATGTTGGTACATAGTACTTGCACGCTTACAACACTAGAATCCGGGTTTCGATACCCGTGGTGGGCAGAGCACAGATAGCCCATTGTGTAGATTTGGGCTTAATTACAAACAAACAAGTACCTAAGGTGTACCCCCCCCCCGTGGCACGGCGGTATGTCTGCGGACTTACGGCGCTAGAATTCAGGTTTCGATACCCGTGGTGGGCAGAGCACAGATAACCCATTGTGTAGCTTCGTGCTTAACCTGAAACAAAGAGTACTTGTACAAAGATGCTGTCCTATTAAGCGCACTCACAAACCAGTGTTTTATCATATTAATTTCTACTGGAAGTATACAGCATGAAATATCGACACTAATGACGTTGCTGCAAAATGTTTCAGTACAATTATTATGTTTGATAAGATAATGAATGTGGTCTGAAAATAGCCATCTGAAGGATTTTCTATGAGATAATACACGAACCCAATAACGTTGCTGCAAAACGTTTCAGTACAATTATTATGCTTGATAAGATAATGAATGTGGTCTGAAAATAGCCATCTGAAGGATTTTCTATGAGATAATACACGAACCCAAAAATATTAAAGATTTATCAGACATCTCCATCGGGATTTTACAGCCACTTTGCATTATGGGATACCTCTAGTACGAATTAAAAAAAATAGTTTCCAGTCAGAATTAACAAACATATCCAATCAAGATTTATTAAACGTTTCTAGTCAGAATTAACAAACACGTCAAATCCAATAAGAATCTAACAAACATCTCCAATCAAAATCTGACAAACACCTCCAGTCATTATTAACAAACACATCTAATCAGAATATATCGTGTATCTCCAAAAAAGTGTTCAAACAAAAATATTCATTTTGCTGCCCTAAAAAAAAAAAAAAAAATACTTACTTCCGAGTTTCGAGTACAGATCTGATCCTTCTCCAGAAATCTCTTGAAAACATTTTTATACATACTGATTAGCTCAATATCAATTAGCTAAGATACAGAAAATAGAATTTTCTTTCATCAAACAACTATACTGTCATTTACAAAACAGTATCTTGTAGCTACATGAATCACTTAACATTGACATTATCATCAAATCTAACATGTTTAAATCGGTATCTAACAATACGTTATTCAACAAGAACCTCTTAATATTCAGAATCACATATCACCATCTTTGTTTTTTTAAACATAAGTCGTGAAAATTCTTGTTAAAATTTCATTATAATCATTTATGAAACCAACTAGCTTAAATAATATTTTTTCTAAAACTGATTTTTACCTAGTTAAACCCTTAATGAAAGAAGAAAATATAAAAACTAGGATATTATCATATAATTCATATATTTACCATACGATGTATCAAGCATGTATATGATTCATGCTAATATACATATATTTTTGTCAAAAAAAAAAAAAAAACGAAAACATAATATGTTAAAATTAAACTATAAAAAATGGAAATAACACCAAACACCATCAATTTCTGTATTAAACCTTCCAACCTACTCAGGGGTATAACAATAACCCTACGAATTAGATCTATAGTGTAGAATGTATTCTCCTGTACAGGTTTTGTATACACTTCTATAATTAATTTCGTTAACTTTAATGTGGTTACAAACACATGATTATCACTTTTCTCTAACTGTATACAAGATTTATAAGGAATGTAGTGTAAAAAACATTGTAGGGTTAAAAAAAAAAAGATACAAGTGTATTGCTTCTGCTTTGAATTTTGTTGTAGCCCACTAGTATAGAGTCAAAAACAGTGTTAAGTGGTTTTAATGGGGTGAGTAGTAATGGTTTGCTGAGGCAGTTTAAATAAGCTTCAATCATATACAGTAATCTGTAGACAATGTTTTTAGCTGCTATCAGTTCAGACTTTGCCGTCGAGCTGCTTCGGGGGGTGAATCAAGCTCCTAATACTGTCCTTCAACCAGATCAGAAGCAGTCAACAGAAAACCCCCAACCATAAAACTTTGGTAAACATGTAGAAAAAAGGATACTTTATATTGTGGGCACTTCTGTCATCAGTTTAAAACAATATAGTTATTGTTAAATTTTCGAGAAACTACAGAGTCTGTAGGGTAGCTGAATAACAAACCCAAGAAAAAAACTTACTGTGTAAAAAGACTAGACAAACATTCTCATAGGGGGATTCTTACATTGTACTTTATAATAACAAATCTAAACAGCATAATAATTCTATTACACGGATATTAAAATAACGATACGTCAACTGGAACATTTGTGTATCGGTCATACGATCTTTCAAATTCTACATTTTCATCTCGTTCGTTGGAATGACAAAAAATATGTTATTACTTGAAACTTGCTTCGACGTCCGTTAGACAAGAGCATATTTATACGCGTGAGAAACGGTACGTTTAGCTAGGACTGGTGATTAAAAACCGTTGTCGAACGTGAAAGGATATTCTTGACGGATTAAATGGTTCTTTCGAGCACAAATATACACGAACACGATAAGAAGTTAGAGCCCCGATTTTTCCATCTATCCCCAGCTCAACTCACTTGAGCAGAAGCAAAATCTTGGCTGTAATTGAAGAAAGTTTAGAATGGAAAAAAATCATAAAATTATTATATTTTTGTAGTTTCATAGCTTTTTTTTTATACATTTCATCTTTCAAATAAATAACATATCCAAGGTAAATAATGGAAGTTGGCTAGGGAACAAAGATATATCTATTACGCATGTTCTTGAGATTATTTAATAATTGTATAAAAAACTACGACCCACGATTCTGAGGTGTTAAAAGTATTTCAAACATTCTACACAATACGCTGGCATATTTTCTGGAACTCGGGAAAATACACATGGATATACTAGCTAACTTAGTAATACATCACAGTAGTTACACATTCCGTTTTTACTGCGTATTGATTTGAACTTGCAGACTTTCTCAGTTACTCAAAATTATGGCCTCGACAAACTTAGTCTCTAGAAAAACACTGCAACGTATTAATTAATGAGAAGTTATGGCATGGGAAGAGTTCAAGTAGTAAAAAAATATCTTTACGAACATTAACTAAAACATCGTAAAAATCAAAAAAAATATTATCAACAATGATTTGTACTACATATGCAAGTGTTTTATTTGACTCATTTCTAATCAAAATATTCAACAAAATATACATTTGTGGACAGCATGTTTGGTTATACACACAAGATAACAATGCTTCTTTTGATTTCCTCATAGAAAACTAGATTAGGAACAGCGCAATGCTTGTTTGGAGGTCTCGTAAGCAGCAGCTCAAAACACTGCTACACAAACTCACGAAAACCGTTTTATGGACTTTATGCGTAAAACTGATTCAATAATATCAACAAAAATGGCACCCAATACAGCAAGAAATGAGATCTAGAATTTTTGTTATTTTGCTCTCTGTTTTAAAAAGAATTCATAAGCTAACAACAGTGCCCCCTTTCTGCTTTTCCTTCAACGAGATAATAATCATCTACTCTTGGATTTGTGAAGCCTACTTTTATTCCATCCCAACCATCTTCTATTTGAAGTTCTCCAGATTGAACTTTCAAGTATATGTCTTTGGCAATGAGGGAAAATGCCTCTTCCACATTGACTCCACTTTTTGCAGAAGTTTCAATAAAACGGATTCCATAAAACTCCGCAAACGCCTTCCCTTCTTCCGTAGTCACTTCTCTACAGTGTTTGATATCAGTTTTACAAGCAATAACCTGTAAAAGAAAAACGTGTTTAGAGAATGTGTTGATGTTTATTTTATTGTCAGACTGAAATGCTTATATAATTCTAGTTGTTCAAGTATTTCAATCATTTTAAAATGGTGTTCTTACCCCCCTTTTTAATAAAATTAAAAAGTACGTAATTTCTAGGTAAAAAACACTCCATATTCAACACAGTTTTGTTAGTTTTAAACTCATTTTCCTTTTTCAATTATCCATAGTTTCATAGCAAGATAACATATTACTTAACATTTTTCTATAATTTAAAATGACCTTTAAAGTTATTGTCAAACTGATATAGCTTGTGTATAAGAAAGAATTGAAGACAACGCGCAGCATAATTAGGTTGCTACGATTGTTTTTTCTTACAATAGGCACAAAAAGTAAAGTAAATTTATGATTTTATATGGTTTTGTTTAATTGAAAGAACAAAAAAGGAAAAATTGAGCTCCCCAAACACACAGGATGTGCCATTTTGTTTATCATAAAAAAAAAACTTATTAGAAAATATTGAGCTGTTTGCAAAATTTAAGGTTCAATACGATATAACTGAGCTTAACTCTTCAAAAAACTATCAAAATCAGTAAATCTTTGGGGAAAAGAGTTGGGTGATTTAATCGACTATGTCGATTAGTGTCACATAAACTAATTGATTAATCAAAATTAGTGTTCCCAATTATTACTGTTTTTGATAATTCCAATAATTGATTAATTGAAATTAATATCTAATAGAGTGTCATAAAACTAATTAACTAGTCGAAATATTGCCAACAAACTTTCTTGCCCTGTCTTTGTTATTGCAAAGCTACTAAGGTAGTTTTGAACTGCTGACCAGAGAGAAGACAACTGGTTGGCAGTATCAGGTGGCAACTTGTTTTTTGTTTTCTTCTTGCTTTTAGGTACCATGATTTGAAAAATGCTGTACTGAACAAATAATGTGGCTGTCAATTAACAGCAAATATAACCAACAGCCAGCTCTGTTGAGGTAGTACTTTTTTTTTTAAACTTACGTACCTGGTACACTGCCTTATGAGGCTCTATGTGTCTCCGTATTTCAAACAACCAGTCCACTAAGTGTTCAAAACTTTGTCGACGAGTCATGTCATAAACTAACAATGCTCCAACTGAATTCCGGTAGTAGCATCGAGTGATGGTCCTAAGAGGAAAAAAAAAAACATGAAAGAAAAAAAAATTTCCACTTCATTATGAAAGTTCACGTGATCAAATTTTAATTCTTCAAAACAAAATTTTACTTATTCTGAAATTAACATTTGTTTTCAACAATAGGGCACAGATGTTGATTTGATTTATCTATCAACATCTAAACAAGTTAATTTACTCCAGTTTAAATGACAATATTTCCAAAACTCTTAGCTGGTATTCTTCTATCTTTAAGGTATGTATGTAAACATTGTCAGGTCGTCTCTCTAGTACAAAGTCTGTTATTCATTACGAAATATTTCTTGTCCTATATCTCCTGTTGTATTTAATGATGACAGGGATTGAAATATTATTTTTAGTTGACTTTCCTGATTGGAAATGAGTGGTTCATCCTATTCCTTTAACTATGACCAATGAAAATGACTCGTAGGTTTCTTTACTTAACCAAATGTGTCCTGGATCGACCCTGTATTGGAGAAGTAATGTTGACCAAATTCCAAATTTACTAAACGTATCTACATGAAGTGTTGCAAGCTTTTAGCAATATTCACAAGTCTGTTGCACACAAAATATCTGATGTGTTACAAAAGTATTTGTACTCAAGATATGACTGTGAATTGCTGATGTCAATCAGACTCTGACCAGTCAGAGTGCAAGGTGACGTTCATATGAAGAACATGTTATCTCATTGTATTTGCATAACCTCTAGAACCTCTGAAATATATATACAGCTTCAGTTTCCCTGTATATTGTATCTGTTACTAAGTCAGCAATGGGGGGGGGGGGAGTAAAAATGTTGAATAGCACTCTGTAAAAGATCTTAGGACCTTGCCCCCCACCCATGCACGTTTAATGGGAGTTATTGGTTAATTTTACAGTCTAATAAACTGGAAATATGTTTAATGTTGCAGATAATAATGTTTGTTAAAACTGCCATCCAGAAGTAAAATTACATTCCCTCGTGTAAAGTTGCATTTCCTTGCGAATTGTTTTTTTTTTTTATTTAGTCTATGCAATATGTTTTTGTTTCAAAGTATCAAATCTGGCATTCACCCATCAAGGCTGGTGGTAAAAATTTTGGGAAAGAGTTCCATATGGCACCCCCACCCAAAATTGTAGAATTGCCTGGATAAAAAAAGATTCTGAAAAGGGTTTTTGTTTATCTGACCATTAGCCAATACCAAACATTGTTACTATTTTATACGAAACATTTTTCATCTAACCATTACCTAATACCAAACATTGTTTGTCTAACCATTATCCATTAAGTGGGGGTGCCATATGGAACTCTTACCAAATTTTGCACTGAGGGCTGAAAGTTCAAAATATACAAAAAAACACACACCTTTGAACTCTGTTATAAATACTTATTTTTCCTGTCTCCTCAAGTCATGTCCACTGGGTGACATTCCTTAACACAAACTTATTAGGTTGATAACATCTCAGCAAGCTTAAAACTGCATTCCATGTATTACTGGTTAAAAAGCATTTTATTTGTTTTCACTGGAGTGTGTAATTAAAAACAGGCTTGAACCAGATGTTTAACACTACTGAAGGGTTGGACAGAATGATTATAGGTCTTTCTAAATGGAGATACGATAAAGCTTGAAATGGGAATCATTAAGAGTTCTAAATTTAAGTTTTTAAAGCTGAGATTTATTCTTTGTTCAGATTATAAACTGACAGAATGGTTTACCTGATGCTGAGGTGTGTGCAATCAGTTTAAATTCATTTATGCTGTTATTGATAGGTTTAATTACTACTACTAAAAATTAGGGTTAATAAGGACAGTTGATGTTTTATCATCTTACTTCACTTTATTCTTTAAAAACTAAGAACATAATTTCACAGATTGTGTCTTGATTATTGAGAATTCTACCCAAACCAGTTACCTAAAAATGAAGACCTGAATTCAACTAAAAATCAATAACACAAGAACACATGGAAATGACACCCAACTTCAGTGGCACCATGTTTTTCAAACAGATGTAAGGGTAGAACTATCAGTGCATACCTCTGGCAACACCCTCTACATATTATTTTACCCTAACTATAAATATATATGATCATAAATTTTAATAGTATGTACTGAATTTTGTGAAAACGAAAGATAATTATTGGGTTTCGTTACTTGAAAGAAAAAAAGAGAGAGAGTTGGATATTCATACTATTTTCAACAGAGTAAAATAAGATATTTATAGTGAGCTAGTGATCATTATTAATATCATTTTTATTATATGTGAAATTTATCGAAGCTTAGTCAAGTTTACGGAAATATACTTAATTTCTCATTAATTTTAAATTTAAGTTTAGGAATAATAATTAATATATCCATACATAAATAGTACATTTATAGTCACTAACAGTAACAGTGGGAAAAGTTCGTAGATAAGGATGTAAAAATGCTATGTCTCAAAACTATATCACTTAGTCTTATGTTAATTATTAATGTTACGACTATGAGTTCTTACCTAAATCTTTCCTGCCCAGCAGTATCCCACAGCTGTAATTTAACCCTTACCCCGTTCTTGATCTCAATCAGACGGGAGAAAAAGTCCACGCCTACTGTAGGGTCAGATACTTCTGCAAATTTTCCTTCTGTGAATGTTTTCAAGAGAGTGCTTTTTCCAACAGTACTATCTCCAATTAGAATTATTCTGAACTGATACTCAAAAATAGGCTCAACCATTTCTTACTCAAACAAATTAGGCCTAACTGCAACCATCTGGTAATTACTTCCAAACCAATAACACACAGGATATTCTAAACTACTACAAACCTTATCAGATATAACATTTAAGTATGACACTGTACAAATCAGGCAAGCAACATACATTCAAACAGTAAACAACACAGATAGCGTGATCATGTGACGTACTTCCTATCAGTTCAACAGCGCCCTCTCATTACTATACACTAAAATGAGTTAATAGCAGGTAGGCAAACAACGATTTAATATGTTCCATCATCATTAAAATTCTTCCTTGCGATTATAAATCATTGTTTGCCGACCTATTATTAGCATAATGTGCTTCCATACTCAAGTACTAAATTACGTTATTTAAATTAGGCAGTAAGTATTGATTGGTTGCATAACCAAGTTAATAAATAATATACGATTATTTTAAATAAATAAAAACTTCTAGGCTACTCTTTAATCCAATGAATAGTGGGATTGACCATCACATTATAATACCCCCACGGCTGAAAGGGCGAGCATGTTTGATGGGATGGGGATTCCATGCCCCAACCAACTAAAGCTCAATATTAAAAGAACAAACATACAGACACACAAAATCTAACCAGACATTGTGGCAAATTCGAAAATATTTTACGTTGTGAAATGTAATATTCATTTCAGATTTTTGCGTAACTTCAGAGTTGTACCTGCCAAATCTAGAGATGTAATTTCGTTACAATGCAAAGCTTATTAGTTTTAGGGGGGAAAAGGAAAGTAAAATTTTATGTTGCCTCGTGACCAAAAAACCGAAGGAAACTAGCTGCTTTTGTGATGCCTGATTGTTGTATAAACTAGTAAATTATTCAAGGCGATATACATATGAGGAGAATATTTTATGTTTAATTAATGACCAACTTTTTATTTATTTATTTATTAACATGACTGTAGAAGAGTAATTTTCCGTAAAGTTTCGTTCTT